AAACCATTTCAGGTGACTACCTCTTGAAGCTCATGGAGAGAATGCCAAGAGTGTGCAAAGCAGTAATCAGAGCAAAGGGTGGCTATTTTGAAGAAACTAGAATATAAAACATGTTTTCAGTTATTTCACCTTTTTTTGTTAAGTACATAACTCCACATGTGTTCATTCATAGTTTTGATGCCTTCAGTGAGAATCTACAATGTAAATAGTCATGAAAATAAAGAAAACGCATTGAATGAGAAGGTGTGTCCAAACTTATGGCCTGTACTATATACATATATTGCACATAATGGGAAGAAAACAAAGGGTCCTTTGTTCCCGAGATTTAGCTGTCCAGGGGTCCTGTGTTCCTCAGCCCTATACAGTAAATAATGGAAACCTGAGAAAGATGTTCTCCAGCTCTGCATACACTCAGTATGACAGGGGTTAGACTAGGCAACTATTATGACTCTGACAGTGATGAAATTGTCCAGGCAAAGGTCTTTGTCTAAATATAGTTGGTCCCTCTGTTCGGAAAACAGTTCCAAAATTAATTGTAGCCCAAGAAATTAAATTATACTAATGCCAATACTATAATAAATTAATTTAAAACAACTTCTAATAGGAAGTGAGAAAAGGGCTACAGGTGGTTAAAAAAAAGAAGTAGATGGCCAGGTTTAGTTACCATTTTTGAACAGGTTAAGGTAAGGAAAGAGGTCAAATGTTGGGGTAATGTAAAATAGCCATAACAACTAATCATTCCCATCTCCAAACAGGTTAAGATTAGGAAAAAAGACCTGGGAAGGGGGAATGAAATTGCACTGATGTATGTATTGATGTGCAGAATAAGCCAAAGCTGTTTTAGGGACAGAGTGTGACAAGAAAGTGACATAAACACAACAGTGATGTGTGTGCCCTAACAGAATATTGATCTGGGGAACATAGGACCCTGGGAATGTGGATACACTCCAGATCTGCCCACAAGCGACAAAGTGCCGAGGGTGTTGGCAGTTCCTGGCAGCTTTGTTGCATTAGATGTGGTTTTATTAGTAGACAAATAAGATAAAAGGGGGGGAAAGGGTCTGTTGCCCGTCCCTTTTCTAGGACAAAGCAGTGATATTACAGCAACAAACAAGACATCACCAAGAGAACCTCTCACAGTCATGATGCTTGCAGGTTTCCTCTTTCTGCTCCTCACAGGTAAGCTGGAACATTTCTGTATGATGTATGC